AAAATAGATAAAAAAGTGAATGTTTAAAAAGTTTAAAAGAATATAATTTAAAAGTAGAGCAAAATATATTATGCCAAAATAATGTTTAAATTATTTTTTGTTCCAGTTTTGGGTTAACATTCTGGTATTTTGTAAAATCCAAATGTATTACATTTTAATGTATTAATGTATTAATGCATTAATTTTCTTATATTAAATTCCAGTACACAGGAAATGATGCAGTTTTCTTCATATATAGTATGAAAGTATAACACTTTTACTTACTAAAAAATTATGAAAATCTATTAATTTTACCAATTTTACTTTTATTTAATTATGTAAATTTGAACCTTGTTTCTTTATTTATTTTATCTTAACTTTCATTTTTAAACATTTCCCAAAAATTTAATTGAATGTCGGATAGAATTTTACAGCCTAAATTCTTACTTTTAGGCCTTATTAATAGTGAATATTTCTCACTTTCTAATAAAATTAAAATTTGTTCAATTTAACTCATGATTTGTGCCCATTCGAGAAGATGAACCTCGCCTGTATTTATTATTCGCTATAGCACTCCCACTTAATTTTTTACAAAGATTATTAATTTATTAATAATTTACAGAAATATTAAAAAATTGTTAATTTTAAGGCAAGCCCGCGGCGCTTTGCAATGGGAACAAAAAGATGGGCAAGGCAGCAAAATAATTTTCACGCAATTTTTACATTTTTATTCTAGGATGTTCTAATAAGTATAGTAGGCCCAATTCACTGACAAAAATGTGTTTTTTATTCATGGAGTCATATTCAAATATAATATCTAATGAACAGTGCACTGGACAGAGCCTCCCAGTATTTTACTTACACTATTCACTGCATGTCATTAGGTGATACGAAAATTTATTTAAGTTGGCTGGCGACCAGTGTCCCCCCCGGAAATGCGATGACCGGAACTGTAATTTCATAGCGATCTGCGATATCGGGTTCTTCGAAATTACGTCCGCACTACGACCAATGGGGAGACATCCTGACTGCAGTTACTTATCTAATGACATTAGGGTATTTTTGTATTTTGTAGACAGGTAAAAAAATGCGAATATAAATCGTCGAGAAGGGTGTACTAAGGGGGTATCAAGAGTGATTACGTGATGAAATTACAGGGTGTAAAAATGTTTAAAATATAACAAAAATTTACAGAAACATTATTTTGTTGAAGTTTTTAAGTAAAAAAATGTTACATTAGAAGAGGGAAATTTGTAAGAAACGACAAAAAGTATTTAATCGTTTTTATAAAAATTCAGTTTAAATAATGACAAGCTAAAATGATGATGATAATCCAAAATTAAATGATAAGTTAAAAACGAAAAAAAAAAAAAAATTATGACAGTACGATGACAAGCTTTAATAACAAACGAAAATAAACAAATTAACATAATAACAAAGTAATAGTATATTGTGCAAAAAGTAAAGAAAATAGTCGATTATAAACAAGCATTTGTTAGTCATGCGAGCGTAGCGAGCGGAGCAAGAATGCGAGTTTATAATCGACTATTCTTCACGAGTTGCACATATTATTTTGTCCCACAATCAAATCAAAAATTAAATCAAAATTAATTCTTTTGTAAAAATGATTTGACAGATCTGTCAGATCTATAAGTGTTTTGGTTTTCAATGTTAAGTTTTTAACATTGTTTTATATGTTTATTGGGATTACCTATTTGCCTTTAAAATTAAATTTCAAGTATGTAAACAATGCTTAAAATCATATGTATCAGAAATAGCTGTAATTTAATGTTTATAATAATAAATATAGCTTACTTTGTCCATTGATTTCGAGCGTATAATGTCTTAACTCTAAGTAAGTGTGGGACATAATAATTTTTTGACAAACTAAATTCATAAATAAATAATAATCATGCAAAATTAAAATATGACAATTTAAATTCTAACCATTTAATTTTGACAAGTTAAAATGATGATAATCAAAAGTGAAAAAAACTAAAATTGTGACCATGGTTGTGCATCTTTACTGTACAAAAGGTTGTCCGCTGGGAAGTTTTGACTACACTCGCCAGAGGCGCTAATGTCGCCAAAGTTGTTTTTGTCACCGAGACTACCGTTGTCTTAATGACAGTTTTTATAATAATTATAATTAGACATGAGCTTTTCAAAAATAACTTCATTTTGTAAACTTTTAAGTGTGTGTTAAATTTGTGAAGTCCTTATAACCTTTTAAGTTTATATTGTGTAACATATTAATTATTATGGTTTATTCATGTTGTGAACTAAAGTGCAAAAGCAGGGGAGATAGGGTAAAAATGCATAGATTTTCCAAAAACGATGAGGTATGTCTAGTTTTTTATATTATTTTTAATCTTATGTAAGGATACCTATATCTAGGCTTTATATATAATTTTGAAAAATTATTTTAGAAAATTATAACCATTCTTTAAAATGCATTTTTGTGATAATATTTCAACTATGGTACAAAATATGGTTATAATATTTTATAAAATATTCTCAAAAAAAAATCATTTTAAACTTTAAAAATTTTCATAAAAGGGTTAAAATCACCCGCGGGGTGTAATTTGAAAATGTAAATTTGCCTCTAAGCAGTAAGTCTTGAAATTTGTATAGTTTTTAATTTTTATAAATATATTTTACCTTATAAATTAATTAGATTAGGAATGAAATAATTAGATAAACTTATTTGCCTCTATTAGATACGTTTATAGTTAATTGACTGATGTAGAGTAATTTTAAGTTGTGTTTTGAACATTTGCGTCTATATGTATTTAACTTTGGAAAATAAAATAATAATTACAAAAATGTAGTTTTATTATTCCTCTTTTAACTTTCACTAGAAAAATATTAAAATTATTTATATATTGGAGATAACAAAATAATACAATTCAGCCACCAATAATTTGAATATCTCTTTTTGACTACACCCGCTAGATGGCGCAGTAGTCACGGAACAAAACTTTAATACTAAGTTGCCTATCTAAGTAAAAAAAACTTATCCCATACATATACGTCAGATTTTATGAATTGTCAAATAGTTTCCTTTAATTCGAGAAATAATCTAGACGGATATCACTCAACCTATAAAAATCTGTCAAACTATGCTCAGTAAGTTTTTTATTTGATTTTTCTTTTTGGAAAATAGTTTCATGCAAAATAATTAAAAATAAAACCCCTCGACCGCTACGCGGTCTCGTGATTTTATTAAATTATTTTGCATTCAACATTTTCCAACAAAAACCAAACAAAAAACTACTGAGCCTAGTTTAACCGATTAAATTCATAGTTCTCGTGATATATAATCATATTATGATTAAATCAAATATAATTTGATGATCAAATCAAATGTCATTTGAATGTCTTCGTATACTGTTTCTTGCGACGGTTATTATATATTTGCCCGCCGCGGCGATTTTTTAATCTAATTAATAAAATTAACTTATTATTTTTATTAAACAACATTAACTTATTATTTTTATTAAACAACATTTTAAAAAAGGGTCCAATCCGCGGCGGTTCTTTTTTTTAATATTATTTAGTTGCTGCTGAGGAACAGTAGACACATCTTAAAATGTATAATGGGTTGCATACAATACTCGTATTAAATCGGCATTAAAGTTCTACTTTACTGCCGATTTCGGATAAAGATAATTTCATAAACTGAATTATTAGACAAGCTAACATATAACAATTTTAATTTTAATTTTGAAAAGCTAAGATGAAGATAAGCAAAATGATGACAAGATTAATTGATGACATACTAAATATATATGATAACATTTTAAATTATGAAGAAAATAATGACAAGTTTAAATAATAAAAAACTAAAATGTTAAAAAGCTAAATGATGATGACAAACAAATGTTACAAGATAAATTAATGATAGATGACATTTTAAATTATTACAAGTTTAAATTAGGACAAGCTAAAATAATAAAAATTAAAATAATGACAAGCTAAATTGATGACTATCTAAATTAATACTAAAATGGTAGGTAACAAGCTTAAATAATAGACAAGCTAAAATGACGGTAAGTTAAATTATGACATTCTAAATTATGAGGAAGAAAAATAATGACAAGCTAAAATTATGACAAAATGATGATAACAAATAAAAATGACAATCGAAAACAACAATTAGCCTAAAAATAGTCCAGCTAAAATGATGACATGCTTAAATGAGGAGCTTTAGAGCAAAACTGAATAAATCCACCACAAATAAATATTACTTTTTTTATCTTTTTTTAGTTGGTTTCCGTTGTTAACTTAATTTTTATTAAAAAAAAGGAATTTATTCGGTTTTGCTCCAAATAAACCAAATATGAATTTTTACTGAGTATACTATAGGTAAAATAAAACACACAAGATAATATTACTAAAACCTTGTAAAATTAAGTTTGAAAATTATAAAAAAGGTACTTACATATTTGTTAAAAAAAAACAAGTAAATTGGGAAAATCGATAAAATAAAATATCAGAAGAAAACAATTCCTAGAAAAATATTTGTGTATAGAAAAAACATTAAAAATTAGCAAAAATCCTAAAATAGCAGATTAAAAAATACTTTATTATTTAAAAGTATTTAAACAAAAAATAACCCCACTGTAAAAATAACATATTTTGGGTAAAACATTCTTGGTTTTCGGAAAAAAATATTAAATTAAAAATAAATATTACCGCAAAGCACCTTTTTCAAATTAATTGAATTTTTTAAAGTCTTTTGTTTTTTATAATAAAGAAAATTTTGTGGAATAACCCATGTAAGTATAAATATAAATTATATTTTTGTTAACTATAATTAATTCCAGAAAAAGTCTAATATTCTATAATTAGACAACCATTATTTTATCAAATTAAAATAATTTAAAACCCTTTTCCTCCAAAAAAACTCAAGAAAACCCCCAAAACAATCTCCCTCCATCCATCCCGAACCCCTACACAGTGCGCCATCCAGGCCTCCCACTATAAAACAAACGCCGTTTGTCAAATCGACTCAGTCAGCTGTTTGCTGTGCACTATAACAAATCTCTTGTGCGCTCACTCATTGTCCACCGCTCACTACGCGTACACCATACACGAAATCTCGCGACTTATTTTCCCTTATTGTTTACCCCATCTTCAGTGACAAACCAACAAAATCGAGATGGCCACATACGCTGCATACAGACACATTGAGCTCGACAAAGTTGGCTACAGCAAAAAAAGGTATGTTGATTTTAAGACGTTCTTGAGGGTGTTCACCCCGTTCGAGTTTGTTGCTATAGTAATAAGGCTATTTACTATTCAAAGAAATAGTCTTACTTGATCATTTTTAATGAGATAAATGTTTTGTGTGGCGGTATTTAAAGAGGGTTGCCGACCACGGTCTCTTTCAAATTTTGTGTTTGGGTATTGATTGAAATAAATGTAGGGCACTAATTTTAAAGGCTAAGATTTGACGTTTTTGTTTGTTTTTGGTTTTTACATTATTAATTAATTAAAATATGTACATTTTAAAATTAATAATAATAATTAGCATAATGTAATTTTTAAAATTAAAAAATTTGTAGACAGATTATTAAAAAAATTATAAAAATAGAAATTGTGTTAAATTGTTTTGGAACAAAAAAAATTATAAAACCATAAAAAAAAATTTTTCCATAATTTAAAAAGAATACCTAACTGAAAAACTGAAATATCATTAAAATATTGCTAAGCCAATTTAAAATAAATAAATTATTATACTAAAGTATTGAAAAATATTAATCAATATTAAATAATAATTTAATATTAATTATTAAAATACACAAAAAAGTAAATTTCAAATTATAAAATTTATATTATGGGCTAACAAAAAATGGAGTAAATTCTTATAAAATTAAAAATATGGGATCCAGATTATATACGATTACGATAATGGCCACAAAAAGTATTTATAAATAAATAAAAAAAAATCTGATTAGTTAAATTAAATCTTACATACCCTAAATTAAATTTTTATTTAAATTATGTTTTTAATTACCTATGTCTCTTTTTTATTTTTCTATGGTTTTCTTGGATTATATGGCCTAATTTTTAACTCAAAAAATCGTTAAATAATCGTATACTATAGCCATTATAATGGCCATTACTATAGTAATGCTAGTAATTATCCAAAATTATATCTAAAAAACAAAAAAACAAGCTTGTATTCAAGAAATCTGGAAATAAATCCCAGATTTTTTAGAAAAACTTTTTTGGGTATAAACTTATATTTTTGTAAAATTTATAACTTTTTATTAAAAATAAAGACCATATTATGTAGGTACACAATGGAAATTAAAGAACGATAGTAAATAACTTATTTTTTATGAAACAAAATGAAATAAAGCATAACAACTTGTACCTATAGGTAGATTAAAAACTTTACTTAATCTAAATATAAAATTCAATTAACAGGAAATTTTGAATGTCATGGGAACATTTATTTATAGTTTTTCCAAAAAATAAAAAATCAATTAGCTTTATTTTCTCCTATAATAAAAATTAAATTAACGCTAATGGTAATGGTTTGTATGTTCATATTTGAATTACAAATTTTAATAAAATTTACAGACAGCAGCCCAGTTTAAACAATTATTTCCGTTCTGACACACTTACACCCAAAATAAGCATAAAATTACAATAATCAAGTTTAAATTATAATAATGGTATATAAAAAATGATCCAAATAATCAATTATAAGTTATGTAGAAAATATTATTTTCTATTTTTGGAAATTTAAAAAAAATGTGAAAAAATATTGGCCCATGGGGGGATCGAACCCGCGACCTTCGCGTTATTAGCACGACGCTCTAACCAACTGAGCTAATGGGCCAGATACAATAAATTAAAAATTACAAGGTTTTATACATACAGTTAGTGCTTTCTAAGAAACAAGATACTTGTATACTCCTGCTAAGAACGGTCCGTAAAGTTAGCCTAAAGCACGCCATGCCTAAAGTCTTTGGGGCACAATTCCTTGCGATGTTTAAAAAAAATTAATTTTAAACATCTTCAAAATAAATTGCATTTTTTATAGCGCTGAATCTTAAAATTCTTATGGATGGTTTTCGAGAAAAACGCATTTGTAGGACTTTCAGGACACAGGTTGTTAAAAACCACAAAAAAATATTAATTACCTACATATTTAAAAAATTAAATTAAAAAGATATTTTTTGACGGCCCAAGTATATCTCAGTATACTTATAAGGAAGCATTTTAGGACAAATGTTTAAATATCGGACTTTCGGACCTAATTACGTAGGTAGGTAATCGTTAAAAATAATGTCAATATTGTTTTTATATTAAAAATAAAAAGTCTATCAGTAGGTACAGGTCTATTTTGACAAAGACATGTTTTTTAATAGGCACGCTCCAATTTTTTCACAATTGACAGTTTTATTGCTGTTAAACATTCATAAACTTTTAAAGCGGAAGTTTTTAAACATGATTTTAATAACTGGTAATTATACATTTTAAAAAACTCGTTAAATGTTATTGCCTGCAAAGGTTACAATAAAAAAATGTAAAAAGGAACCAGTAAATAAGAATTGGCCATAAACTTTTTCTTATTTTACTTTTGAAATCTCGCCAGAGCCGGGTTTGGACAGCTACCTAGGCTGCGGCCTATTGGATAATATAGCATCACTGTCCATTTTTTAGTCAAGTTTTAAAATCAGGTTTTTTGTTTTAGTAAATAAATAGTATAAAAGTTTGGTGAACGTAATCATCATTTATCATTTGCATTTGGTTTAACACAGTGTTTTAGGCTGATATCTTGGGCCAAGTAAACAAAACTAGTGTAACTCTACAGAACCCTAGATTGGCCAAAATTGGTATGGTTCTTAATTTGTGTTCGTTCCATTGTGTATACAGGGTGTCCCATAATTAGCGTGCAATACTTTAACAGCAGATTCTACTTACAAAAATAAGAAAAAAAGTTCCTATAAACATAGGAAGAGAAATGCTTTCTTATGGAGCTACAGCCCCTGAAAGAGGAGCCCCTGAAGATGGTTTTTATTTAATATATATATATATATATATATATCCAAAACTGTGCAAGATAGAAAAGTAAAATTTTGGGAATTAATTAAACTTTTTATGGCCAATGATATTAACAATTCAAAATTTCCATGAGGTTTTACACACAAAAAAGGTCCTCTTGTTAAACTTTGATATTATTCACTGTTTTCGCTTAAAATCGATTTAAAAATTACCTTAAATAGCATAAAAGATTATAATGAATTCACAAGAGAAAAAGAATCAGCGTAGGCCATGGAAAACAGCTGCCATCTTTCAGTTTCATGTAATATGTGACAGGGTGTTTAAAAATTGTCCATGGCCATGTTTAAAAATTGTCCTTGGCCTACGCTGAATCTTTTTCTCTAGTTGTGATTTCATTATGATATGCTATGTAAGGTAATATTTAAATCGATTTTAAGCGAAAACGGTGCATGCTATCGAAGTTTATCAGGAGGACATATTTTATGTGTAAAACTCTAAAATTTTATGATCTAATATTAAATCATGGCACAAGATACGTACAAAAAAGATAGGGTAGTTTACCCCCACTTCCATCTATGAAAATTTTGAATTTATTATCATTCCAATTTATTGGCCATAAAAAGATGGATTAAATCCCAAAATTTCACTTTTCTATCTAACAGTTCTGGAGATAATAAATAAAATACATCTTCAGGGGCTCCTCTTTCAGGGACTGTAGCTCCCTTGGGAAACATTTCTCGCCCTGTTTTTATAGGAACTTTTGTTCTTATTTTTGTCCTATAAGTCCTTCGGAGGGGACTTTAAGCCCGCGGTCCGTTCATATCCCTAACCTGCACAAGCCGTTCAGATGGCTTCTGGGACTTTTTCGGAAGTAATGGTGGAACACTTTTGTATAAGAACAAGACGATACCTAAAGTCTATTCAAATCCAAGCTGCACTGAATGTAAACACAATCCTCCGAATCGACCAATAAGAGCTTACAATCCGAGTCACACCATCAGAATCGACCAATAGAAACGAGATATCACGCGTCTGGGCGTTTTTGTTTAGTCCAGCTTGGATTTGAATAGACTTTAGCTTTGCCTTTGAAGAATATGAGGTAAAAGCCGTTTTTAATTTGATAGCAAAAACTCAAAATAAACTTTCGTGTTTCACTTCTTGACTGTCCAAGCACCATAAGTTAAGCTGACCCCATAAGAAAAAATTCGAATCATTATTTCCTTAATATCATAGATTAATTTAAATCATTATTGCGGCAGAGAACAAGTTGCAGCAGCTCAAAACTAAAAGAAAAAATGAAAATTAATTGATTCAGTTAAAGTTTTTTAGCATAAAAATGAAAAAAATTACGATAAAAATTAAAAAGGTATTAGCCATAAGTGGTGGATGCATAAACTCATTGTTTTTCTAATTTTGTGCGCACGCTTTGCGCACGCAAATGCGTTAATACACGAATAAGATTATTAAATCATGAAGCCTTTAGAAGTATGTTTAATTAAAAACAAAAAATATTGCAAACATAATTCAAAATAAAAATATAAATACACAGAAACTTTTCGCACGCTTGCAGAAAAAATATTATAGTTAAAAATGATTAAGAAAATTACTACACAAAGTAATTTTTTGGCACTTACTGCTTGCGGTAGCGTGCAGAAAAATATAACTTTGCGCACTTGTTGGGAAAATTAATACTTTCTAATATTGATATCGCCAGGTTTCAAACCTCCATGTTAAAAGACAGGCTTAACGCTTTAGCTCTACTCAGCAGTTAAAAGACAGGCTTAAAAACTTAAGAAAGCTTAAGAAAGTGACAGTTTAGTTCTCTTCATTTTGATAATCTAAGGGCGCTACAGGTTCAGCCTGGGGGATCTTAAATTGAAACTTTCATAGGATTATAAAAGTCTTTAGAAAAAAACTAAATATTGAACTTATATCGAAAGTATAGATAAAATCAAAAATTAATTAAAAGTTACGATATCATGTGGATTTTTTTAGTTTTCAAATTTCACACCATTAGTCCAGCAATAGTAATTAAAGAAATTAGTTTCAGTTAATTATTTGTTTAAGAAACTTTAGGTTTTAGACTGTATGTACTGGGAATTTTCTTAATTGCTTTAGTTTTATCGTTCTTATTCTTTACTCAACGGTTTTATTATTCTTTTATCTAATAGTACATAACTACATACCAATGTTTATTTTGT